TATCGCTTCGTTGACAATTTTTGGCAGAAAAACAGATAATCAAATATCGATCATTTAATACAAGCATGGTGTCTAAAATTGCTCTACTTAATACTTGCAATTTAACTCTACCTTATTGGCGGATTAAAAATTCGCCTCCATTGTCTGATGCGTTTGTTAATACCAATTCTGACGATTACTTTATCAACAAACATATTTATTTCCCAATTTATCAATACATATATGAGTCTCTATTGCACACACCAACTATTGTATACCCCACATACACTAATCTTCCTGCCTTAAATAACTTAATTTTGAAATCCCAATTGAGTTCTTTTAGTGAAGATATAATAAAGATATTTACAGATGGGTCAAAATATGATGAAAGAACTAGAGCAGCTTTTCTTGTTTCTAATATTAATCATATAGAAAAATTTAAACTACCTATGCATTCCTCAATTTTTACAGCTGAAGCTTTGGTCATTAAAAAAGCTCTTTTGTGGTGTAAGTTAAGTCCATTTCAAGCGTTCGTTATTATGTCTGATTCAAAGTCGGTCTTACAGGCTATCCAAGGCTCTCCAATAAAGTTTTATCGACAAGAACTTGTATTTGAAATTAAAAATTTATTATATAATCTGAGGACTATCAACAAAAATATTAATTTTATTTGGGTTAAAGGACACTGTGGCCTCACTGGAAATGAAATTGTAGATCAAGAAGCTAAGGCTGCCTGTAGGATCGGTGTATATACCAAAGTCTCTTCATTGCCTGATATCGTCAATTCACATAAGAAAAACATAAGAAACAGATGGATAAGCCAATACCATGATGTTTCTAAAAATTCAAATAGTCATTATTTTCAACTTCATAGGCAACTTCCTAATAATATTCCTCATCTCAACAATTTTGGTTTACCCAAAAAATATACTTCTATACTATCACGTCTCAAATTAAATCATGGACGGTTTCCTGTCCATTTACATAAAATAAAAATCATAGACTCTTCCACTTGCACTTGCAATAATACGTCGGTTGGAGACGCCAATCACCTTTTCTTTGAATGTCAAAATTATGCATTACAAACATCTGGGCTATATAAATCTTTAATCTCTATCAATTTTCCTCTACCAGTAAATTTGACATCCCTTCTGACAAGCACCGATAAACATATCCTCGATATTTTAATTAAATTTATATGCGACACTAAGCTAGATATTTGAGACACTACTCTTATTTCTTTCTTTTCTGTATTCCGTTTCTATTATTTAAACATTCTGTGGCAAATGGACACCGTCCGAAGCCATATCTCTCACACAACACAACATTTTGGCAGCTGATATTAAAGTTTCACTGGGGACTAAAAGTTGTCCTCTTGAAATAAATTGAATCCAATCAGGCAATTCATGAGTTGGTAATTCTTTAGTTGGCATTCCTAAGTGATCATATTTATGTTTAAATCGATAGGCAACGTAACCGGCAATGTATTTCAAGCCTTCAAAAGTGAGAGTTTCTACAAAATTATCATGATTAAATTGTTCAAATTGGTCCAATAAATTTTGATGTTCATCTGATATTTCAAAATAAGTTCAATGTTTATTAGATCATCATGTTCTATAAATGTATATGGTGCAATATCATTTGGTTCATCTTCAATCTGTTCAGAAATATCTTTGGCAAAATGTTTAAAAGCAGAATGAGATAAGGGTCACTATCAGAAATTTTCAAGTTTTTTGTTTCCATAAGTGTTACCAGACATTGTTCATGCACATTTTCCTTTGAGTTTCTATTTATACTAAAAACAGAGGCTGAATGCTTTCCTAAAATATATCTCAACCTATGTTTAAATTCGAGTGGAGTTGGATGATCGTCTCGTCCTCCCATCCCTCGTATATAGGAAAAAAATTCTCTAAAATGTCTTGATTAAGACGGTATGTTAATATATATTCAACTGAATATTTATCTTTAAGGTAGTAAAAAAGATTTAATAAGGAAATATTACTTAATAAAATCCCCTTTTGAAATTGAATCAACCCCTTGTGTGTACCCACTCTAATAGATTCGATCATATCACTGAAATTTTGTAATAATTCAATTTGAGTATCTAAATTTACACCAAAAGCATTTGTCCCAAAGTGATCCCCAAATTTACTTCTGGAATTAAACAGATCAAACCAATCATTTGTAAGTTTGATTAGTTCAGCTGTTTCTTTCCAATTTTTATTTTCCATAAATCCTTTCTTACCACACCACTCTATAGACTTTGCAACTTGATTGGAAAATAACTGAGCTGCTGGCTGTACTTTTTGACGTTCAGTGCCTTTCAAATTTAAATGGTATGAATTAATTTTAAATGCTATTTTTAATTCAGAAGCAGATCCAGACAGCAGTGTGTCCACACATTCTTTATTAATTATTTTATTTTTATATATAATAATAATAATTTATTTGCAGTATTACAGGTAAATTTGCATTAAATACATCAATTTTATCGAACAAAATAGTATAATACTACAAAAAGGGAATAGCAGACAGCATAGCTGATATTAATTGCTATCCCTAATAAAGAAAAGAAAAATATTAAAATAATAAAATACAACGAATAAAGTGTGGCACAATCGAGACAAAAATATAAATACACATTTTATAAATGTAATATTACATTTTAAATATATAAAACCTTGGTCTAAAAAGTGATTTCTTAAAAGTTTCAATAAATGAGGTATATCTGCAAATACAAATATCTGTAATAAATCGTTACTTGGGTGTTTAAAATAGCAATCTTTTTGATAGCCAATATTTAGCTCTGACCACAAACTCATGTTACCTGAGCCCATGTCGCTCGTTATTGCTACTACAGTAAAGCCAGCAGAATACAGTTGGTGTATTATTTCAAATAAAATATTTTTGTTCATATTTTGGTCAAATTGGTAAAAAACTGGTTGTTTCCATTGACCAATTAAACCTCTGCACATTACTGTTTGACAAGCTTTATGTGAACCAAGTATTTGCTGTGCTTTTCTGTCAATACATATTTTATTTGAAATATATACTTCATCAAATGTAAGAACAGCTAATTTATTAATTTCTGATAGATCTAATGATTTATTTTTCATTAACTGAATTACGTTCTGTAAAACCCCTTGTTCTAAATTTAAACATTTAGCCCAGTCTCTTAAGGTAGTAAACCCAGGTAAAGGGTAATGAACAGTTCTTAAAAATCTATAAGCCTTAGGACTAATGCTTCTTAGGGAGATGGCGGAAGCTATGTCATCTGAACTCCAATGAATTCGTTTTTTATTTTCATTGCATAAAACATTTATTTGACCTGGAGTGAAACATTTACTTAAATTTTTTGTAATACTTTCCTGAATTTTCACTTGAGAATTATTTTTCAACTGGCTAATTTCTTCTTTCAATGAAAGTATTTCCATATTTGATTTGTTGTATTTTTCAGTCATTTCCTTGAGTTCTTCACGAAGACTCTTAATAGTATTCTCTAAAATAATAATTTCATTACGGTGGTCACATCTGAAATAATAACATAGAGTTAATATTGAAATAAAAGCAATTATCACTTTAAAGTTTAATATTTAATTAAAAAATTGTTTTTAAATGTTTGTAATGTTAATTAGTACATGCTAAGTTGTGTAATTTTATTTTCAAAGCCATATTTTTTGTTAATAAGGTAAATTTGTACATACGTTTCTGGTTCTGATGATACCAATATATTTTAAGTATCTGTTTCGAAACTTTGATTCTCCTTGTCCTGGTCTGCAGTTGACAATTGTCTGGAATGCCCCGAAATATTAACAAAGCTCTCAATAAATGTTTGTCGATATCTTTTTTCTTAATCTATCGTCACTTTTTGCAGACAATTGTCTTTTTTTCACTGGGAGATTTTCAGTAGGAACTGCTGTAAGGGTATTTCGAAACTATCCTTCGAAAAATGTATGGAACAAATACAAGCTTAAAAAAGAAACAAAGACATAAAATGAATCATATTCAAATTAGGTTTGCAAAAATCATACCATTTTTCAAATTAATTGTATCTTTTCTTCCGCAAGCGTTGACCCAGGCTTTGGCTACATCTGTTTTCGGAAATCTAAAATACTTAATATTTGTTCCCTTTGTTTTTCTTGAATAGTTCTTGCAGTCAAACACTGCACAACCTGGCATTTTGTTAGTAACTACACACCCTAAAATATAGTAAATTTTAATGTACCAATAATATAATAATAATAATAATAATAATAATAATAATAATAATAATAATGATATATTAAAATAACAATAATGAATATAAACTATTTTTTTATCTTTAAAATACAACAAAAATGTTACATAACCTAACTTTATATCAATTACACTACCAACTTAATTAGAAATTAATTGAATAATACGTACCAATAATTTCTAAACAGACCTATTGATATATAGAAATGATATTCAATTTTAAGATAAATATATCTATAAACTTCTAAACACTACCAGAAAAATATTAGAATAACTTTAAAAGTCGTTTTTTAACATTGGAGACATAGGCAAAACAAAAATATGCTCCGAAGATGACGTCATGCGCAAGAATGACCAAATTTCGTACCGCTTACCGCTTCACCAGGAGTGCGTTTAGAAACCCCGCACGGCGCGTCTCACCACATACATTAGAATAGGGTCCAGACGCGCCGTGCGTGGTTTCTAAACGCACTCCTGTATTCTTCCACCATGCTTATGACGTAAGTTTTGAGGCAGTAGCTCCCGGTCCACAAATTGAATGAATGAATCTTTATTATTAATAGGAATATTCTAATGTGCAGAAATAATTCATACAATTTAAAACTTAAAATTGATAATTGCCAAAAATAATGTAAGCATTAGCGCAAATAGGAAGTTATGGTTTTTAAACTTTGTCGACTTTAGTTTTTCATGTTTTATTTAAATTACATAAATGAATGCTAACTGTTTCGCTAGTTATTTTCAAAACTAGGATGTAAAGCTTTTATTAATGTTTATTGTTTTAGAGGACAGTCACCAGCAGAAGCAGACTTAAATTTACTAGAAACTGCACGAAGATGCGAACTTTATGGGGTAAAAATGCACCCCGCCAAAGACCACGAGAATGTACCTTTAAATCTTGCAGTAGCCCATATGGGAATCATAGTTTTTCAAAATTATACGAAAATTAACACCTTTTCGTGGGCGAAAATCAGAAAAATATCGTTCAAGAGAAAAAGATTTCTTATAAAATTACACCCTGAAGGATATGTGAGTAAGAAATAATATTTGAATTAAAATATTGGAGCAAATATGAAATTGTTTGCAATAAGATAACTAGGGCATTGTTTTTCTTCTGAAAATAATTTTATTTCAGGGTTATTATAAGGACACGGTTGAATTCTTCTTTGAAGGAAGGGACGAGTGTAAAAATTTTTGGAAAAAATGCGTTGAAAACCACGGATTTTTTCGATTGTCAGCTGTTAAACATATTTCAAGACATAAAACAAGAGTTCTTTCGAGAGGCAGTTCGTTTAGGTAAGTTAATATTGTTTTCTTATTTTTGACATTGTAATTTAAGATAAAAATGAAAAGATTGAATTGTGTCTTTTAAGAGAATGTTTTTCTATTTTATGAAAAATTTATTTTGTAATGAAAATTAAAATAATTGGACATTGATTAAACACTTATTGTCGTTGAAACTTTAACCTACCAAATGTCAAAGGTCCTAAACAACTTCCAGAGGGGAATTGCTTAAACTTAAAAATTAATAAAATAAAGGACCCCGCACACCGCTTATGGAAAAGTGGCGACCTGTTAAATGTCATGAATTTTTGATATGTTCAGTTCTGGACCTCTTAAGAAATAGTGTCCATGGGACCATTCAAATCCTGTGACTGATTTTTGAGATACAGGGTGTTAAACTTATTTGATAACATTTATTTTAGGAGAAAGCTAATCGATTATAATTTTAAAAAGGGGCCAAAAGTTATTTTCCTTTACAGGGTGGGCCACAAATAAGTAAGGACATGTTTTTGATAAATACTTTTATTGTTCTAGAATGGGAAAATATTTACTAAAAAATAAATTATTGGTATATTTATTATTATGATTACATTACAAAAGATATTGGTTGCCATTTATACAGGGTGATTTGTAAATATCGACATAGGCCAATATATTTTTTTATACGTATTAATGTGAAACGCAGTATTTTTACGGGACTCATATACCTGCTACCTCTGTTTTGCTGAGTGGGAAGACTATGCAAGGGTTCTTGGGTTCTCCTAGCTTTAGTTGGTGTACTAAAGGTCGGGCCAGAATTAAAGTTTTCCAATACCTAAATATAAATAAAACTATAATAACTGTGCAAATTAATCAAATTTATTTTAACCTTTAAAAAAAAAAAGACAGACTTCAGCAAGAAACTTAAGAGACATGAAAGTAATCACAAAGATAGAACCAATTAGTTCTTGTTATAGATAATAATTACAAAAATATATACATTTTTACATTAGTCGAGTAGTCGAATACGTAGAATACAATAAGTCGTATAGAAAGGATCATGCAGCAGCTTACAAATAAAATATTATAACGTTATAACATCGATATGTTCTATAAGTGGCAACTTATTAAATCATAAAGAAAATTTATCAAGCCTACAGATGGACATTGATAAAGTTACATCAAATATAAATAGATTTCAACTCAAACGAATCTTGTATGTAAAATTTGACAAAATAATTTAGTATTAAAGTGAAAATAACCAAATGTAATTCGTTGGAGCCAAAACAAAAACCTATGAGTCTATGCTCAAGACCACATTAAAATTATATAAATAAAAAAATTACTTAGCTTAAACAGTAGATAAACAATCCACGGAGCATCCGAAGATTCGAGACTCTGCTTTTATCTAGGCGGACATCAAAATGGTGAAGTTGGTGGCTCTATGTTAAAGATGTAAACCGCAAACTACATGGACTCATTGTACACCTCTCAACAAACTAAACTCTTACAGCCGGTTGCAAGAACGATTGTTAAAATCTCTCGTTAGCTAAAGAACAAATAACTAACTGAGATTAAAACTGGCAACGGCGCTTTTCCAACTGACAGTCTGTCGCTTCACAGCTGATCACGGGAGATTTTTGTATTAATGAAGTTAATTTGGTAATATTTTTTCGAAAACTAATTACAAATAAAGTAAAAAATGAAATTGAGGCTCAACCTTTACGGCTATGGTTAAATGTTAACACTATCCCTATCTTTTTTCGACATCGGCTCATATTTTTTAATATACAGAAGCAAGGACAGTCGGTTCAGAGAAAAAATGTTTTACACATGAATATAATTTCTTAAAATAAATAGAATGGCTTAAATGAAGAAAAGGTTCCAAGAAGTCACTGGAAAAAGAGGAAAATACTCATTTAACTGCCCTTCTAGTAGTGCCCGATTAAAAATCTGTGATTTGTGGTTTAAAGCAACAGTATTTAAATATAGTTTGTCCCTTTTATATAAACTAAAACTATTTTTTCTTGTACTTACTTTACATTTTCTCTTCCCGTTTGTCATGGAAAAGCACATTTCTTTCTAATGTACATTATTTTTTCAAATAGAAGTACATAATTAAAAACATGTTTAGTTTTTATCATGTGTGCAAACCCCATTTACTGTGGTAATATTTCCAATGTATTTTCTATTTTTAACAGACTTCAAAAAAGAAGTAGGTAGGTTCTCAATTCATCGGAATATATTTTTTTATGGATATTCAGCGACAATTCTTTACGATGTTGTCCGATTTCTGATTATTTTTTTGTTAGAAAGGGGGCTCCTCAGAGATGGTTTCATATATAAATTTGGTAAAGATCTGATGATGGGATTCATGAGAAAATAATCACTCTTCGTATTTTGTAGTCGTCAGTTTTTTTAAATTAATTTTGTAACTTATACATTTTTCAATGAATCAAAGTAAAAAACTGTTTAAATTGGGAAATTTCTAAAGTTCAGTATCTATTTTTTAGTTAGAAAATGAAAACTGGAGGAGAGATGGTAAAATCTCTGGTATGAGAAATAAATTCACATTTGACCTATTCTTGAAAATCATATACAGTTCCTTTAATCCCTTCAATTTGGATGCTATATTTCTTTGCTAATAAACTAATGCTAGAATATATTTTTTATTTAAGAACAACTTTCTATTTGTACAATATTGGCATTTCTAGATTGTTGAGAAAATTAAATAATTATTATATGATAATTAGCTTTTATAGGTTGTGTAATAGTTGAAATTTAAAATATTAAATAATTGCTATGTAAATTACACTTATTTACCTTAATATATTTGCTTTCACATTTATAATTTACAGATTTGTAGGTCATAAATAAAACACCAAGTTCATTTTAAAATTTTATTTTTTAGGATTAAATTAATATACACAAAATACATAACATAATAAAAAAATATAATAAATCTACAATAAATAAAAATACATTTAATTTGCCCATCCTTAATAAGAATTCTAATTCTAGAAAATAAACATTCAATTCAGGATTTCTTTTTGGTTATGACAGGTTTCAAGTTTACTAGTAATTTTGTGTTAAAATTTACAGTTTGCCTAACGTATTGGATATGTCTACTTAGCCAGTTCCACATATTTAATAAATGTATAAAAAGAAATGGATTATTTCAACATAGGTACAAACAATAAAAATGTTATTGCTGATAGTAGTTTACTGCTAAATATTTACTTTTTCTGAAAATAGGCAGGAAAAAACTATAAAATAATATTAAATATGGTTGAGAATAATGAGAATGTATAAATACATAACATTTATACGAATTAAAAAGTTTTTAACAATATAAGTAGAGATACCAAGCTCCACAGTTATATGACTTAAAATTATTCATGCTATCATCTCATGAAATATTTTAAAATACTTAGCAAACACCTATATTACTACAAAGTAATGCCTATTTAAAAATAAAAATATATTGCTACAAGGCTATACCTCCGTCATAAGCCAAACCCCCATAACTGACAAATTACAAATATTTGAGGTTATTTGACCATTCTGATACTAACCCATTTTTCTTTTTAAAAAGTAAACAAAATACCAGCAATTTTTATTCTGTATCCTAAAAAGTCAACTTGATTCTACAATGTAACTAACATTTTTCTAGAGAATTCTTATCAAAAATCAACCCAAAACATTAAATCACACTTATTTATATAACTAGTTAACATTATTCAAAACTTGTCTTTAATTCAACAAAAGCAGCTATATTGGTAACACATATCAAAATACTGGCACTAATAAATTTATTTTATTGCATATATCTTCATTCTATAGTTTGTGTAGTTACTGGGGCAGTATAGATATTTTAAAGTTTTATTTGTGAGCCAAGCCTGTCTTGTTTCAAGATTAGTGGTCCATACAACAATATTTTTAATTTTGTTGTGTTACAAAGTTTTCCTTTTTTAACTGTATGGTTTTGCTTGAGAGTCTGTGCAGGGGGACCAGAAGAGTCTACTTGGACCAGGCAAGGGTTTAGTAGATTCCTTGGGAGTGAAGAGACTACTAGGAGAAGCAGCTACGGAGACTCCACTGAAAAGAGGCATAATATCAATTATTGATTCGTGCACCTACAGAATAATAAATAAATACATATTATTCTAGAGCTCTTAAAAGTATGTTCCGAAATATAATGATATAACAAAATTTATAGGAAATTCATCATTGAAGAAGTTATAACTCGAACCTACATAGAGATTCAACGATGATATTTAGCTGCAGTTAACTAGGACTCGTGTAATTATTTATTGCAATGCAAGAACCTAATTAAACCTACAGTTATACTTTACTAAAATATGTAAAAGTTCCCTTCAATTCCAAATTTGTCTTCATATTGCACTAATTTTCTTACCAACATACAAAGTATTTGTGATAATTATACAGGATGGTCCAAATTTGACAGGTTTATAAGATATTACTAAATTAGCAGGGGATAAAGCACATTTGCTCTCACCTTTTTTTTAAACTAAACATGTTATTTTATATCCCATTATAAATTCCTCCCCTAAGTAAAATGTAAGCGTGATTTTTAAAATATCATTATTTTGTTTGGGTGTTCAAATGAAAAATGGTAAATGGTATTATCTTGAAAATTTGTACCCCTTGAAAAAATAATAAGAGTATGACAATGGATTTTACATATGTAACTATGTCAAATTATTAAATTGTTTTTGAAAATAAGATATTTATTTGAGATAATAAATTATGATAAAATTAGAAAATCACCCTATAGCTTCTAAAACGGATTTATAACATAACTAAGCATTCCATGTTTTATTTCTCAAAAAAGTTAAGAATGGTGGGTTATAAGGTTTCGATATCTAGTTGTATCATGTAAAAGCGTCGAATTTTGACCACCATGTATAATAAAACAGCTAAGTTTAAATAAAATAAATAAAATACTTTCTTACCAAAGAATGCAGCAGTGGAATCAATGGGGACTCTGATTATAAAAAAATGCTTTAATT